AACACGAAATTACACAGAGAACACAAACAGCAATCAAAAGGATGGCAACCAATACACACCTTTCAATAATAACTTTAAATATCAATGGACTGATATCTTTGCTGTCTGCCAGAAACCCATCTCACCTTCAGGTACAGGCACTACCTTAAGGTAAAAGAATGTAAAAGAATATTCCTAGCAAATGGCACTAAGAAACAAGCAGGTGTTGCAATTCTATATATCTGAAAAAACAGACTTCAAAGTAAAACTAATCAGAAAAGGAGGGTCACTTCATTCTGATCAAAGGGACAGTTAACCAAGAAGATATTACAATCCTGAACATATATGCACCAAATTCTGGTGCACCTAAATTCATAAAAACAACACTCTAGGACTTTGAACATAAATGCATGCTGAATTTTGTCAAAAGCCTTTTCTGCATCTATTGAGATGAAATGTGGTTGTTGTCTTTGAGTCCATTTATATGATTAATGACATTTATTGACTTGATTGAATATATTGAACCATCCCTGCATCTCTAGGATAAAGCTTACTTGATCATGGTGAATGATCTTTTTGATGTGTGTCTGTATGTAGTTTGCAAGTATTTTGTTGAGAAATTTTGCATCTATGTTCATTAAGGATATGGGTTTATAGTTTTCTTTTTCTGTTGTGTCTTTACCTGGTTTGGGTATTAGAGTGATTCTGGCTTCATAGAAGGAATCTGGGAGTTCTCCCTCTGTTTCTATCATCTTGAATAATTTTTGTAGTATTGGTTGGAAGTCTTCTTTAAATGTCTGGTAGAATTCTGCTGTAAATCCATCTGGGCCTGGGCTTTTTATAGTTGGGAGGGTTTGTTTTACTGTTTCAATTATCAGCACTTGGGAGGCAGAGGCAGGCAGATCTCTGTGAGTTTAAGGCCAGCCTGGTCTACAAAGTGAGTTCCAGGACAGCTGGGGCTACAGGGAGACCCTGTCTCAAAAAGCCAAAAAAAAAAACCAAAAACCAAAAAAACCCAAAACAAAACAAAACAAAAAAACTATAAAAAAAGAAAGAAGGAAAGAAAGAAAGGGAGTACACAAAGTTGTCAGAAAAAAGTGGTGGGGAAATATGGGAGGTGTTGGAGGGGAGGGAGTAGGTGTGGATTTGATCAAAACACCTACATGTATGTATGATATTCTGAATAAAGTTTCTTTTAAAAGTTAAAAAAAACTAAATAAAGACTTAAAAACACGACCTGAAACAGTGAAACTACTAAAGAAACAATCAAGAGATGCTTGTTGACATGGGCCTTTGCAAAGATATTTTGAATTCTTTCTTGAAAGCACAGGCTACAAAGGCAAAAATGGACATAGGGGTTTACACCTTATGGTACAACAAATAAATAGTCAATGGGGTAAAGCTATAACTTACAAAAACATATATGTGCGAACCACATCTATGATAAAGGATTAATATTCAAAATACTTAAAGAACTCAAATAACTCAACAGCAAGAAAACACATAACCTGATTAAAATACAGGCAAAGGGCCTAAATAGACAATTTCTCAAAGAATGACATACAGATATTTGACAGACTTGTGAAAAAATTTTCATTGTTGTAAATTATTAGAGAAATGGAAATTAAAACCACAATATGATGTCGTCTTACGTGTTAGAGAAAAGAAGATAAATGATTGCTCACGAGGCATTGGAGAAAAGAGACAATGTGAATTAATACAGCCAAATGGAAAACAGCACAGAAGCTCCTAAAAAGTTACAGCTAGAAGTACCACAGGAACCTGTAGTTTCATTTTGTAGTTATATATTCAAAGGAAATGAAGTCAGTGTATAACTGCCAGATATTCATAATAGCCAGATAACCCGAGAGTCATCATCAGATGAATAGATAAAATGTGGTACATGCTCACAGCAACACAATTTACCCTTAGAAGGAAAGACATTCGTTCATTTGCCAAAGCAAATGAAACTTGGAGGACATGATGCAAAGTGAAATGCACCAGGCTCAGGACAATTACTACAGGCTCTTAAGTACATGTGGATCTGAAGAACGTTGAGTTCATAGAAACAGAGAGCAGAATGGTGCTTATCAGGGATATGAGGACCAGGGATACAGAATTTCAGATCTGAAAAACTGAGGAGGTAGATTTTTATAAGCTATTTATTACTAACAATAATTTGTTGTCTACTTGAAAAGTGCTCAATGGGTATATTTCAGATGTCCTCACCACAAAAATAATTCTGTAGCTAATGAATATGCCTATTGATTTAGTTATTATAAAATACATGGATATATCAAACATCATATAAGTACATGCATACCATATACTTATATATACATACACATACATACATTTTTCACTTGTCAGTAAAAAGTGATTTTATATTTTATGCTGTATAGGTGAAGTTTTTGAGTGTGTGTGTGCATGTGTGTGTGTGTGTGTGTGTGTGTATGTATGTGTACATGTGTGCAAACCATAGGTCAAGAATGGATGTCTTCCTCAATTGTCCTCCATCTTATTTTTTGAGCCAGGATCTCTCACTGAGCCTGGAACTCACTGATTTTGTTAGACTGGCTAGTCCTAGGGATCCTCCTGACTTTGCCTCTCCAGATCTTGGATTTACAAGTACATGCTGCTATGTCTGGCTTCAAAAATTTTTTTTTCTTAATATATTTTATTTATTATTTCTATTTTATGTGTATTGCCTGCATGTATGTGAGTGCACCCGTGTCATGCAAGGCCGTGGAGGTCAGAAGAGGGCTTCAGATTCCCCTGGAACTGGAGTTAAGGACAGTTCGTAGCTGCCATGTGGGTGCTGGGAATAGAACCTGGGTCCTCTGCAAGAGCAGTCAGTGCTCTTAAACGCTGAGCCAACTCTCCATCCCCCCAATTTTTTTTTAGATTTACTATTATTGTGTGTAAGTGCATAATATGTGTGTGTGGTACATAATACTGTGTGCCACAGTACATATACAGAGGTCAAAGGACAACTTCAGAGTCCGTTCTCTCTCTCTCTCTCTCTCTCTCTCTCTCTCTCTCTCTCTTATTTATTTATTTATTTTTTTGGTCTCTTTTTGAAACAGGATCTCCCTGTAGCCCCAGCTGGCCTGGAACACATTGTGTAACACAGATCTGCCTGCCTCTGCCTCCTGAGTGCTGGGACTGCAGGCATGTCCCACCACGCCTGGCTCCAGTTCTCTCTATTTTTATTTGGGTTCCTGGAATTGAGCCCGGGTCTCAAGCACCTTTCTTTACCTGCTAAGCCATCTTGTCAGCCCAGTTAAAATTTTTGCTTAATATAAAATATAATTTTATTTAAAAAAATTTACTTTTTATATATTTATTGTGTGCATGTGTTTGCATGAGTGCGTGCATTAATGTGTCACAGTATGCATGTAGAAGTCAGAAGACAACTTGTGGGAGTCAGTTCTCCCATTGTGTGGGTTCCAGGAAACGAAACTCGAGTTGTCAGACTTCGTAGCAAGTGCCTTTACCTACTGAGTCATCTCGCTGGCCCCAGCTTAAAAAAAAATTAATTTATTATTATTGTGTGTGAGTGTGTGTCACAGCACTCATGTGGAGATCAGAGGACAGTTTTCAGATGTTGGTTTCCTCTACGTGGCATCTGGGGATTGAACTCAGGTTCTCAGGCTGTGAGGCAAGTGTTTTTAGCATGGAACCAGTGTGCCTAGGTTTTTAGTGTGGGCTTTGGGGATCAAAGTCAGGTCCTCATGCTTGTGTGGCAAGCACTTTACTGACTGAGCTATCTCCCTAGCCCTTAGATGAAGCTTTTTAATTTATGGTAAGAAATGACTGCTAGTTACTTATAAAGTGAGACCTTTCCCGCACCTGTACCCATTTAACCTCAGGTTTTGCTTTCTAAGCTGAACTTTGTGTATCAAATCCAGTGATTTTCTCCTAGTCATGTGGCTTAATAGTCTTTTGCATTTTTATCTTTCTACTCCTCTGACTATCTAGGGCAGTAGGACCGACTTGCTTGGGACATGTTTTTTTTTTTTTTTTTTTTCTTTTCTTTTCTTGGCAACAGTGTTCCTGAAGGGAAAATCCATTATTTTAAGTTTAATAACAGCAAGGCATGTTAATTCTTGTGAAGTAGAGTTGCTGTTTTCTATCTGCTAACTCCTACCCATCCTTTTTGGTTTGCTTGTTTGTTTGTTTGTTTGAGACAGGGTCTCCCTGTAGCCCCAGCTGTCCTGGAACTTACTATGTAGACCAGGCTGGCCTTGAACTCACAGAGATCCATCTGCCGCTGCCTCCAAGTGCTGGGATTAAAGGCGTGCACCACCACTCCCAGCTCCTATCCATCCTTTAAGTATCAGATCCCCAAAGGAGTCTCAGGGAGCCCCACTGCCAGTGTGGATGCCTACCTTCTAAGTCTGGTGGACAGCACATGTCTCTGTCATTACCCTTACCATAAATACTTCAACTTACTGTGTTAAGGTCTCTTTCCTGCCTTAACTGTGAACCCACTGAGGACAGGACCTGCAGCATATCTTAATGTTTTCTTTTTTTTTTTTTTGTCTCAGTACTTAAAATGTCTTCATTTATTTCTTCAAAGACCAAAGTGTACCCTGAAGACTGAAACTAATGACAGCAGCATGGGCTAATGTGTATGCTGTGAGCCTGCCTCAATAAAAATGCAGCTACTCGGTCAGCTCTCTGAGCAGAGGAACGCTGCTGAACCCTGCCACTGAAGCTCCACATGTAAGCCTATGGTCAATTCAAATGTGTCAGAGTTTAGGGAAAAGAAAGAAATGGGACATTTTTACACTACTGAGTAGAAAAATCAGTGACAGATGATTTCTGAATTAGTGATAGATAAGTTCTGGGTTAGTGAATTATTTTGTAAAAGTCAAGGGTTAAGAGACAAGTGGCCTGCTTCTCCCTCAACATACATATGCCCTGAGGTACTATGGTCACTAAGGCACCAGGGTAAGAAATCAAGCAAAATCCCAAGAAGAGAGCTAGGATGACATGCTCAGGGCTGCAGCTCTTACCAGGTGATGGAAGATCCATTCCCCAGGATGCTCCTGATCTCTGTCCGGCATCTGTCCTGATGCTCAGGGTTCAGAGCTAGGCAGTAGAGGAGCCAGGAGAGGCTGGCTGCAGAGGCATCATGTCCTGCCCACATGATGGTGTTCACCTCAGACTGCAGGTCGGCCTCTGAGAAGCTGCCTTCATTTTCAGCCTATAACATACAGTAGAGACATTTGAATAAAATGTCACCTTAAAATTTGGAGGTGCAATTGAAATGATGGTTTTACAGAAAAACTAGAGTTTCAAATAGAGATTAAAAAAGTTTTGTTTTTTTTTTTTTTTTTCTCAGAGCTGAGGACTGAACCCAGGGCCTTGCGCTTGCTAGGCAAGCGCTCTACCACTGAGCTAAATCCCCCACCCTGAGATTTAAATTTTAATTCAGTTCAACAAATATATTTTATGAGTCATGCTTTGCCTGGAGCACAAAGGAGAATGAATGTTATATAAGAAAAGGAGGGCTTTGCTTAAGGACTTAGAAATTTTTTTCACTCTTCCAGATGTAACCAGTTTTTCAACATTTCTCTCTTTTAAAGTACTTCTCTGTGATCAGTTTTCCTGTGATTCTCTAAACTCCATGTGTCTATACAACTCCCAAATCATGACAAACGATTCAGTCTTCACTGATTTCTTCTGGTGAGTTGCAGAATTCCGTCTTTCCCCAGACTACATGGAGCCAATCCTGTCCTTTCATCCTGATTCCACTTACCCACCACCCCGCAAAATGGACAAGCCCAGACTTTTGGACCATTTACCTGGGCAGAAAGGATAATATCCAGAAGATTTTGATACTTTTGAGTGTCATCCTGCTCCATTCTAGCCTTGAGGAACTTCTTTCTATCCTGGATTACCTTTTCTGAATAGAAAAATATGTCCTCACTACTAAAATAACAGCAAAGTCAATCAAAGTCAAATACAGTATAAAGTAAGGCAGAGTCCATGAAAACTTCAAGTCTTGCTTTCAAGTCTTCTCAGAGGCCTGACCAGGTATACTACAATTAAGTAGATTAAACTTGCATAAGTGGTTTATTTTCCATCAGTGGACAACTTCTAATAAAGTGTTATAATTATGGAAAAAGAGATCCTGAACATGACAGGAAGTAGGAGGAGAAAGGGAGGAGTGAAATCTGTATACTCATGTATGAAATTCTCAAAAAAATTATATGAAAACTTTCAAACAGAAGAGACCAAGAATTAATGTATATTAGTAGGTAAGCAATAGAACTAAGATGATTTCAAGCAGGGTGGTGGCACACACCTTTAATCTCAGCACTTGAGAAGCAGAAGCAGGTAGATCTCTTTGAGATTGAGGCCAGCCTGGTCTACCTAGCAAGTTGCAGGTCAGGGAATACCCATCTCAAAACAACAACAACAACAAAAGATTATTTCAAATTTTAGATGCATGTGGCAATCACTGCTTTCTTTCTCAGTTTAAAATCTTGCTTTCATGGAAGTTATTAAATGGAATGGTCAACAGGAAAAACATTCCACATACATAATTAAAGGGGCTAAAAGCAAGCAAGCAAAGAAACAAAAACAGAACATGCAACAGAAATAATATTTAAAATAAACTTCTGTAGAAATTAGTTTTCTAGCTTAATTGGGGTCAAATTTGTTATTTGAATTTTCCATGTCATATAGTGTATTTGGATAGACGTAAGTAAGAAGCAAGTCATATGTTATATTTTCAAAAACATTTTCTGTGTGTCAAGAGTTTAGTTCCCTTAGGGCTAGACCTCTCTCAGACATATATTCTCTGTGTGTGACCAGTTGTAGAACTCTGTAAAAGGCTCTATATGTTGCAAAAAGAAACTTCTTTGATGAGTGGTATATGATATACTTGTCTATAAATATAAGGATATATATTTAGCATACAGTATGGAATCTCATTTGAGTAGATATATGACAGAGATAGGGTTTTCTCTAGGATCTATCTAGCCATGTGTATTTGGCTACGTTTACTGTGCCACCCATGATTTCCCACCCATTGAGAGGGCTTTAAGTCTAACTAGATAGCGGTTGATTACTCCTTAGATAAAAGTGTCACTACTGCACCAATAGAGATAGCTTGCTGTGCCTATCCTTGTGGTTATTAGGCTTTAGAGCTGGGTTGGACCATTGATTAATTTTTCTCCCTTGCTTGCATAGTATCTTCTAGAACTATGAGAGCTAGTCTTTAGGAAGGATGCTTCCAGGTCAGTTTCAGCTTCATTGGTCCCTGAACAGGACTCCTAAATTAAACCTCACCCACCCATGGCTCAGGGACCATTGCAGAAGAAGGGATGGAAAGATTGGAAGAGCCAAACTGGAAGCACAAATTTCTCTGGGAACTTGCTCATATGAACCTGCAGCAATGTGACAACATGCACAAAATCCATGCTGATTCAACCAGACAAAACCCCAGTATAGAACCGGGAAAATGTGTAGTAGGCACCAACCTTAGCCAGGGAACTATTGGCAACTGATTATTGTGGAGTTGGTTGGTCTTTAAGGTAGTGGCTCTAGATAGGCTGACTAGACTCCAGTGGATGAACTTGTACCCAGTGATATCTGGGTACAAATGTTTGACTGGACAGGCTTTAATATATATGACAATGCATGAAATCTGGTGTGAGGAGTTCTGCAGGAGAGGGTCTAAATTTAACTAAGATCTATTATAAGAAATGCACAGATCCCAATACATGTATCAGGTTTGGATATGACAAAGATGTTTGGGAAAGTGAACTATTAAAGTAAATAAGTGATGAACATTTGGAGGGATGGATCAACACCATATCATTCATTGGAATCAACTCTAAATGGTAAGAATGCTAAGGGTAAAAAGAATGAAGCCATACTACTACCAGAAGAAACCACAGATTACAACCTTGGCAATTTTTAAAAAATTAGTTTTATTTTATGTGTATGAGTGTATTGCCTGCATAGTACGTATGTGTACCTGTTTCGTGCAATGCCTGTGGAGGTCAGAAGAGTGTCAGATCCCCTGGAACTGGCCATTATGTGGGTACTAGGAATCAAACCCGGGTTCTCTGCAAGATCAGCCAGTGCTCTTAACCACTGTGCCATCTCTCCAGCTCTCTACCTTGGCAATTTTGACTTCAGGGGACATTAAGCAATGTTTGGAAGCGTTTTCATTTGCCACAATTGTCAGAATTCTATTGGCTTCAAGTGTCTTGCTGATAGATAAGGCAAACATCCCACAAAGCACAGACAGCCCCTACAAATACAAACTCATGGGTGCAAACATTATAGAATGTCAGAAAAGAAGACAGCTTTCAGTGCTTACTAAAAATCCTGATGCAATAAGAGAAAATACTGACAAATCTGACTAAATAAAGACAAATTTGAAAAGGTTTTGTGAAGCTTTTAATAAATTAGGTGACTTAACTATTTCCTTAATGCTTTGGATTTCATCGTAATTATACAAAATAAAGAAAATGTAGAGAACTGTCTTACCAAGTACTAAGTAGTATCCTCAAATTCATTCCTGTTTATATCAGCAACTACATAAATATTAACTTTGTGTGTGTGGACTATTGCGGGAATGACTTATAAATGGACATAATCTGGACTAATGACTTTTTTTGTTTGTTTGTTTTGTTTTTTTTGAGACTAAGTCTCCCTGTAGCCGCAGCTGGCCTGGATTCACTAATGGAGACCAGGCTGGCCTCGAACACACAGAGATCTGCCTGCCTCTTCCTCCCGAGTGCTGGGATTAAAGGCGTGCGCCACCACGCCTGGCTGTTGAACTAATGACTTTAAATTAACCCCAGCAAAACCACATGCTCTTATGTCTTGTGACCTTGCACCCGATATCATTTCCTAGGCAACCTCATTTGGTACTCTACCCCAAAAGATAATGAATGAATGAATGAATGAATGAATGTGGGTATCCTTAAGAATTAACATATTGCTAAAAGGCAGCAACCCATTTCCATTGAACAGTGGAGGATAGAAACGATGATTAACCTAGGATGAATGAGATATTCTAGAACTAAGGATGAAAAGACCAGATGATCTGTTAAGATTATGGTACAGCCAAGCTTGAATTTTCCCAATTGAAGATAGAGAAGCCATTTTGAATAAAATTATGGATAGGGCCAGACTTGGGACACAGTTCCAGGGACAGAGTTCTAGCAAGGCAGTTTCATCAGCACAGTTCCAGGAGACAGATAGTTCCAAGAGATGGGGAACAGGTATCCTCTGAGTTTGGGGATGAACTTGCACTGAAGGACATCTGGATACACAAACTTGACTTGATAGGCCTTAACATACATGACAGAATGCATGAAATCTGGTGGGGAGGGATAATGGGGGTTGGGGGAAGGGGAAATAAAGATGATTAAGATGTTTGTATGAAATGCACAAAAATCCAATAAAAATATTCAAAACCATCACTAAATGTAAGAGTTAGGCTTTTATTGTTCAGGTAATTATAATGTTGATGTAGTAATGCTGCAGACTATGATGCAAAATCTTTTGAGAATGCTGCAATTTCTAATGTACACATATCTTAAGTTGTTTCTAACCTTCTTTGAACACCCTTTTTATACTATCTATGTGTATATGCACATCTGTGTGTGTGCTTGCAAATTTCCTGAGGGCCAAGGTTTTGATATAATAATTGTACTTTATATTTGACATCTATTTCCTGAGCTTTACTTTTAAAAAAATTCTTCTATCTGGGTGTGGTGGCGCATGCTTTTAATCCCAGCACTGAGTAGGCAGAGGCAGGCAAACCTCTGAGTTCAAAGCCAGTCTGGTCTGCATAGCAAGTTCTAGGCCAGCTGGGGCTACAGGGACATCTTGTCTCAAAAAGATCAAAACAACAACAACAAAAAACAAAAACAAACAAAGAAAACAAATCAAAACAAAAAACTCCAAAACAAAATCAAAATAATTCATTCTCCTCACTACCACAGACTTAATGGGTCTTCATTTCATAGTGGACATTGAGATAAAGCAGTAAGTAACTTGTCCAAAGTCACGGTACTAGTAAGTACTGGAACTGATGAAGGATTAAGTGCTGATAAGTATTCTCTGTTATTGCATACATGAAAAGTAATGTTGAATTGCTTAAAACGCTTGTTCTATTTCTATTTTTGTGCTTATGTTTTGCTAACATAATTTTGTTTTTTATAATTTAAAATTTTACTTTTTGGGGACTTTTACACGAGTACCATATTTGCAGAATTTCTCCCCTTTCTTTTCCTTCGACTCCTCCCAAGCTCCCCTGACTCCCTCTCAATATCTTGACCTCCTCCCCTTTAATTATTGTTTAATTATTGTTGTTATACACACACACAAACACACACACATTTATAATTTACTGAGTCCATTTAGTGGTGCTAGTATGTACATATGTGTAGGGCTGACCGCTTAGATTGGGTAATCTATCAGGGAGCTCACCCCTGGAGAAAACAGATTCTTCCTCTCTCAGCAGTCATTGATTGCCTGTAGCTCTTCATCTAGAGTTGCAACCTTAAGGCTCAGGGAACATTGCAGAGTGGCGGTAGAAAGACTGTAGGAGTCAGAGGATGGGGACATTTGATGCTAGTGTCTTCCAGACATGACAGGGAAGCTCTCAAGCTCTCCTGTGAAGTCTCAACAATATGGCTGCCTAAACAAGACCTACACAATGACAATGCCAATTGACATGCTTTATGTGGATGGGGGAATTTTCTAAATAACACATTTTTGAATGAGTGTGTTTTGAATACACACCCACAACTACTCTTTCTTCCACCCCCATGTTGTATGAATATTTTTAGCCTGTAATTATTACTTAATTCACTGTACAAAGCCATGTTCCATGCTCATTTTGAAATCTTAAATGTCCACTTTGTATATGTATTAAGAATAATTGTGTATAATAAAAATGTATTATATATAAAAATGTTCTGAGAAGACTACTGTTATGAGGTAGGAAGCTAATCTTACCAGATGGAAGTTGTAATTCAGAGCTCTATTAAGAGCAAGAATTCTTTTCTTGTTTACCCTGAGACTTATCCTTCTAGACACAAGACAGTCATGATGGTGCATGGACTTGTGCAACCTATTCCCAAGAAAAGTCCGTGTATTTACCTGCATATTGATGAAGTACTTTGCCTAACTCCTGGAATCGATGGCCGTTAGGACTGAATTTGAAAATTATGTCATGATGATTCCAGAAATTATATAAGCGAGAAGATACAATTTTGTCAAGTTCAAATGTTGCTTTCACATAAGGCTCATAGGTGCTAGAAGAAAAAGTTGGGACTGTGTGTTAATAATTGACTCAGATCACTGTGAATATGTTTGTTGTCCTGTCACTGACCCGTTTATCTGGCAGTTGGTCTCCTGGCCGAAAGCACATTTCATGATTATGTCCAGGGCCATCAAGTTGATGTGTTCAAACACCTCCACGGTTGCTTCCTGAGCGCTGCAGATCTTTTCCCACTTATCCTGGCAGAGGAGGCCAAGATCAATATCATCACCATCATCAAATTGCCTTTATTTGCCTGCTTTTCCCTGACCCTGCCCTTACCATCTAAAGGACAAAACCCTGACCTCACAGGAACCAAGAGCCAGAGAGTAAATAATCCACGTGTTTGCTTTCACATGAGGAAGGGAAACACTCACCAACTGAGTGAGAACGAGCGTGAGTACACTGTACATCTGGCAAATGGCCTCTCAGTGATTTCCACAGCTCTGCTCCAAACAGGCAGAGTTCCGTGCACCCTCAGGTGAGGACCAGCAGTCAACTAGAGGTTTCCCCAGGGCTTCTGCCACCTCACCCCCTGGATAGTCCATAGCTACTCTCAACCACCATAACGGCACTTCAGATAGATGCAGATCATTTTTTAAAAACATTTTAGATTTAGAGATTGGGGAGAGACGTTGCTGCAGGGACCTGGCTCCTACCATGTGCAGCCTGCACCCTCTGACCTCACCACGGAGGGCGACCTACTTATCTGGTCTGAAATGCTTTGCTTAACTTTTCTGAACTGCCTCAAAGGTCCTCTGCTCTAGTAAGAAATGCATTTAACACAATAAGCATTATTTTTGTGTAAAAATGCAAATAAATTGAAATGTTTCAGTTCAACCTACATTTGTTGAGCACCTAAATGTGATCAACTAGGTCCTAAACTTGGAGACTGATTAAAAGGCAGAGTTTGAAAACCTTTTACCTAACTGTCAATTATTTGGTCAGATGGCTTACAGTTAAATTAGATAATTTTTTAAAAAAACATTATTTTCTTTGGATGAACATGTATTAGTTGTACATATTAATGGGGTTAAGGGTGATATTTCTTTTTAAAAATATTTTATTATTTTATGTGTATGCATGTATTGCCTGCATGTAGGTAAGTGCGCCCATGTTGTGCAATGCCTGCGAGGACAGAAGAGGCCATCGGATCCCCTGGAACTGGAGTTATGGACAATTGTTAGCTGCCATGTGGGTGCTGGGATTTGAACCTGGATCTTCTGCAAGAACAACCAATGTTCTTAACCGCTGAGCCATCTCTCCAGCCCAAGAGTGATATTTCAAGCCATGCATACAGAGTGTATTGATAGGCCCACGTGATGCGTTTAGAAGAAATGAGAGCAAGGGCAGGTCCCCAAGCTTGAGGTCCTCTGGAAGCATTCAGCATTCCATGAGAGGGAGTCAGGAAAACCAGAGAAACACAGAGGGCAGAAATGGCTCTTGGAAATGGAGGGTAAAAAAATATAGCCACGGGTAGAAGTGGAACTGTGCTGGACTCTGAGCAGCACTGGAATCAGAGGAGGATGCTCTGCCCTCTCCTTGAGCCTGGTGCTCTGAGTCTGTGCTCGCTGATATCCCCACCACCATCCCTGAAGAGGCGATCATTTCTGAGGGCATTCCTGAGAACACAGCAATAGTTTGGTAACAGTTGTTCCTCAGGGACAGAGATGGGTTTGCCAATGAGGATGGAGGGGAATTTGGTTCATTGGCATTTGAAGTGTTTATGAAGACACTGTATTAATTATTTGTCTGATTTGAAAAAAAATACATTAACTGGGCATGTTGGTGCACGCCTTTAATCCCAGCACTTGGGAGGCAGAGGCAAGCAGATAGCTGTGAGATTGAGGTCACCTTGGTCTACATAGCAAGTTGCAGGCCAGCTGGGGCTACAGGGAGACCCTGTCTCAAAAAGAGCAAAACAACAACAACAACAACAACAACAAAACAAAACAAAACAAAAACCCCCAAACCAAACCAAAACAAAAAAACCCCAAACAAAACCAAACAACCCCCCCTCAAACAAAACAAAACAAAACAAAAAACCAAACCCCCTCTGCACCAGTAGAGCTTCTGACAGAACACACCTCTAAATCAGAGCTCACTCAACAGAAATGCTCCTCTGCAACAATCTCTAGCCCTTTTGGAAGGTTCAACTTACCTCCTAATGATCCTCCACCACCTACAAGAGGAAACTCACATCTGCAGTGCTACTAGAGATGGTGATCCAAAATTCAGTCCTTCATGAGCATCAGGCAAGTTCATTTCAGCCTCAAGCCTTTGTTCACGTCACTCTACTCATTCTCTCATCTGTAATATCTACATATACAAATCAGCTTATATTTCGTGGCAAATTTGAGTCTCCTCTGACAGCTGACACTGGTCAGTTGCTCTTGGCGTCCTTATCTGTCTCCCATAGCACTGGTTCTCTGAATCTCACCACTTGGTATTTGGTTTATTGCTACAGAATCTCAGAAAAAATTTAAGACAGATGATCAGTTCTTCTTTTCTTTTTTTGAGATTTTTGTGACAGGGTTTCCTTGTAGCCCCAGCTGGCCTGGAATTTCCTGTGTTGGCCTACTCACAGAAATTCACCTGCACCTGGCTCGCAAGTGCTGGGATTAAAGGCGTGAAGGCATGCACTACCGCACCTGGCTCTTTTTTTTTAATTAAAAATTTTTGATTCACTTTGAGTTATGAGTGTTTTGTTTTGCCTGCATGTATTTTCCATGTGCGTGCAAACCCGCAGAGGCCAGAAGACGGCGTCCTCTGGCACTGGAGTTACAGACAACTGTTAGTCATTATGTGGGTTCTGGGAACCAAACCCAGGTCTTCTGGAAGAGTAGTCAGTGCTCTTAACCTCAGCCATCCCTTCAGCCCTCCCAACAAATGCAGGAAAGGCTAACTCAGACACCATTGCTCAGTGGGTACTTGTATACTGGTTATTTTCTAGAAATCAACTGTGAATTTTCACAATCCATTAAATAAATGTCTAATACTGTGCTGGTTGGAAATACTTTGCAGTGACCTAGAGTCACTTACCCACTTCACTTACCAGCATCATATTCACAGAATGGGCCATCGGTTCCACACATGTTTTCAGGCTATCACAATGGAATCCAGGCATTAGTAGGCAGCGGTGTTGGAACCACCGGGGCCCATCTAGATTCAGAAGTCCTTTTCCTAGAGAAACAAAATGCAGAAAATCTCATGCTACTTTGTTAGATGAGATGGAGAGATAAGGAACAGCATGAGGTGATCAGCTCACAGGTTGTCATAAAATAGTGTCAAAGAGCTCGTAGAGATTGTGGTGAGTTCTGATGCCCACACCTGGGATAAATGTATTTAACACTGTGAGAAAAGTCTGATAACTTTTGGGACCTGACGAGATAAGAATGTTGACAAAATTACTAATTACCACTCATGTAGTAACTGAGGCAGTTACTCAACCTTTTGGGGCTTAGTTTCTCAACAAGGAGGTGTGATATTATGTGCTGCTCAGGTAAATAAAGGCACACACACACAAGGCACTTTACCTGGCCTTTCCTTAGCGCACAGTAGAAGCATGATAAATATCTATCTCCTCTTAACTGCAGACCAATCCATAACTTTACTGTGAACACAAAGATGTCTTTTCTGTGCCCAGATAACCCCAGCTTGAGCTCTGGTCTGTGGAAACACTGATCAAGGCTAATACTTTACAATCTTCTATTGCCAAAGTGGACATAAGGATTTGTCTTTCAGGGGCTGGAGAGATGAACCAACAGTTAAGAATGTCTGTTAATACTGCAGAAGACTGGATTTCTATACCCAGAATCCACATGAGTGGCTCATAGCCACCTGTAACTGCAGCTGCAGGGGATCCAATACCTGCTTCTGACATCCATGGGCACCTTCACACATGAACACAAACTTACAGACACACAGACATACATAAAAATAAAATAAATCTTAAAAAAGACTTTCCAGATAGCTGAACAAGCCAGGGGATGCAAACCAGTAAGCAGCATTCCTCCACCATCTCTGCTTCAATTCCTGCCTCCGGGTTCCTGCTTTGAGCTCCTGCCCTGACTTCCCTGAGTGATGGATTGTGACCTAGGAGTTTTAAGATAAAATACCCCCCCCCCAAAGACTTTCCAGCTGGGCATGGTGGAGCATGCCTTTAATCCCAGTACTTGGCCTTCCCTCCCCCCTTTTTTGAGACAGGGTCTCAAAGACCAGCCCTGGCTGGTCTTGAATTCACAGACATTCACCTGCCTCCGCCTCCTGAGTGCTGGGATGAAAGGCCAGAGCCACACAAGATTAGTTTATTTTTAAATTTTAAAATATTTTATTTATTATTTTTATTTTATGTTGTATGCATGTTTGCCTACCTGTGTATAAGCGCACCTGTGTCATGAAATGCCTGAGGACAGAAAAGGCCATCAGATCCCCTGGAACTGGAGTTTCGGACAGTTGTTAGCTGCCGTGTGGGTGCTGGGATTTGAACCTGGGTCTTCTGCAAGACCAGTCAGTGTTCTTAATCGCTGAGACATCTCTCCAGTCCCCCCTCCCAAAAGTCTTTTGAAAAAATCTTTCAAAAAACTTTAAAGTCTGAGTGATACCTTTTTTGTTTTGAGTGCTTAAAAATGCCTTGCTCATGATGCATGGTTTGGTTCGCTTACAGTGCTGGTAATTACACCAAGTGCCAGAAATTTGAGATTCCTTTCTCTCATACCAGCCATAGCACTCACTGCCACCCTTATTTTCCTTATGAGGTTGAAGAGAGATTAAATAACTTCTCAAGGATCGTATTCAAGTAGTCTATTGGAGTGGACAGCAGTATTAAAATCTAAGGGTCTCTGAATCCAAAGTCTATATTCTTTCATTTAATTTCTTCCTGGTCCAAAATTAATATCAACTACATGGGAAAACAGCATAATTTATCTGCTCACAGAATAGTGCCAATAGTACTGATGTACTGAAAGACATATGAAAATAAGAGCATCTGCAAAGAAAGGAAAGCAGTAATTAAGAGAGATGAAAGGATTGGGAATATGGGGATGTGAAATTAAGAGTTTGAAGAATGAGAGGGAGTGGAAAATGGGACTTTGAAGAGAGAAATAGATAAGAATGCTTTCTAAGAGGTTGGGCTGACCCTTGAGGTCCCCGTCAAGCCTCCCCATAGATAACACTCATTATAAATTTATCTTACTCTTTTTTATTTTTTTTGTCTTTTTGAGACAGAGTCTCCCTATAGCCCCAGCTGGCCTGGAACTTGCTATGCAGACCAGGTTGGCCTCAGACTCACAGAGATCCACCTGCCTCTGCCTCCCAAGTGCTGGGATTACAGGCGTGTGCCACCATGCCTGGCTAGATCTATCTTACTCTTTAAGGAAATTTTTTTTTGGTCTTTTTGAAACAGGGTCTCCCAGCTGTTCTGGAACTCACTATGTAGACCAGGCTGGCCTTAACTCATAGAGATCCGCCTGACTCTGCCTCCTGAGTGCTGGGATTAAAGGCGTGCATCACCATGCCTGGCATGTGTTTATGTGTGTGGAGTACATGTGTATACATGTGTTTGAGGCCAGAGGACAATCTTTTAATTAATTTAATTTTAAATTATGTGTATGGTTGTGCGTTTGTGGGTGGGGGTGTGTGCCTGTGATTGTAGGTGTCTGCAGAGTCCAGAAGAAGGGGTCAGGTCCCGTGGGCCTGGAGTTTCAGGCATTTGTGAGCCACCCGACATGTGTGTTGGGAATTGAACTCAGAGTCTCTACAAGAGCAGTATATGCTTTTTACTACCAGTCATCTCTCCACTCCTGGAGGAAAGACATTCTTGGAGATTACTCCTTAGGTATCATCAGCCTTTTGTTTGTTTTGAGACAGTGTCTCTCATCAGCCTGGAACTCACCAACTAGGTTAGACTGGATGACCAGCGAGTCCCAGAGATCTGCTTGTTTCTGTCTTCCCAGTGATGGGGTTACAAGTGCACACCATCATTCCCATCACTTTTATGTGGGTTCTGGGGATTCAGTTCAGGTCCTAAGTACTTACTGAGCTGTCTCCCCAGCTCCAATTTTAAACTTTAAAACTTGTATTTTTATGTTAGCATACAAAGTAATGGATTTCATTATGGCATCTTCATACATATGTGTCATTATACTTTGTTTTCATGTGCTATACCCCTCCTCCTTTGCCTCATCCCCCATCCCTGTTCCCTGCCTCCCTCTGACTGGTTTTCTTCCTTCTCCCAGATGATCCCAGTCTGAATTTATGTCACATTTATTTGACTGACCCTTTTTGATGCTTTGGAGTTCAGATTTGGTTCAGTCTCTGTGGTGGTTTGAATGAAAATGTCCCCCCTCAGCTCCAAGTATTTGGACATTTTGTCTCCAGATGATGGTGCTCTTTTGGGAGGTTTTAGAAGGTGTGGCTATCCTGGAGGAAGCACGTCACTGGGGGTGAGCTTAGAGAGTTCTTAAGCCTTGCCAGATCTCTAGTCGCTCTTTTGCTTCCTGTGCCTGCGTGATGATGTGAGAGCTTAGCTTCTGCGGCTCTTGCTCCAGCCACCTCCAGCCACCATGCCTCCCTGCCATGACGGACTGTAATTCCCCTGGAACCATAAGCTCAAACAAATTCTTCCTTCTATAAATTGCTTGGGTCAGTGTTTCTATCACAGCAACAGAAAAGTGACTAACACAGTCTCTTTGGAATGCTCTACTGTGGAAAGGTAATGGGGTAAGTGACACATACATACCAAGACATGGTGTCATGAACTTGTGTAGATACTGGGTCTTCAGGTCTGCAGAGTCAAGCAGAGGAAACAAAAGGCAACATTAGTGGAAACACTCATGACCAGGTCAAGCGGGCAAAGGTTTTCTTTATTTTCTTGCAGTTGGCACAAACAGTGAGCAGGAGGAAGCCTGGGCCATCCCTGCAGTAAACAGTGGGCGGGAGAGAGCCTCAGGTGACTCCTGCAGCCTTGGAGGCTGGAGATACCCTGAGTCTTGGCTCAGTTCCAGAGAAAGGCAAGCCCTGGCACTGAAGTTCATATTCTGTTCTGTTTTCTCTTTCCTCCATCAGAATTGACTTGCCTGGGGATGGTTAAGTTCTAGAATGGGGGTTGGGACATTTATGCTTGTTGGAAGGTTTATCAACTATCAGAGCAGAGTTGGAAAACATTAGACAGCAAGGCACAAAAGCCTTTGATGTTCTTGTGACTAATGTAAAGGTCTTTTACAACTCTGGTCCTAAGGAGGTCAACTCTACACATGTTATAGCAGAAGGACCGGGAAACTAGGAAGTGTTATGAGAAAGGGTGTTTTCTCTTACTAGGTTGGAGGAATGTGAAACACATGAAATATTAGAATATGAGACTTTCATTTTACAAAGCTACCAGAGCTCAAACTGATCATTTTAGTTTTGTGCTATGACACAATTCATAGGGCATACCTTGTAAAAGGACTGGGTCAAAAAAGGACTCATGCTATGGAAAGGAACTCATGCAAAAAAGGACTCATGCAAAGGAACAGAACATTTGGACCATACCTAAGAGGTTGGACTGGTAAGTGAATACAGCATCTCTAAGGGTTACATTTAGGCCCACAGAAGTGGTCGTCTAGTGGTCTTCTGATTTTTCCTAGAGGCTTACGTTCATGATGGAGTGTGTGTGTTTGTGTGTGTGTGTGTGTGTGTGTGTGTGTGTGTGTGTGAAGTTACAAAACCAAGGAAACAGAGGAGGCCCTTGGCCAAGGTGGGAGTAGCAGCTGGATTTTATAGAGCCAGGAGTCACAACTAGACAAGGGAATGGGGAACACATGAGAAGCCTCTTCACTGGAGCAAAAGACCTCTCTATACTTGCTCAGGGTCTCTGCTGGGCCAAGGACTAATCTTTGCTTTATATCAGGCCTGTGAGTTATGCACTCATTCTTAGCAGGGTTATGATCCTGAGGTTTGCCTTCCTTCTTACCTGTTCTGTTCAGAAATATCTTTGCACAGTCTGGGTCATAGATGTAGAAAAATGCCTGGAAGGGCCCAACCCAGCAAGGGAAGGCACAAGGGTATTTTTCTACAATCTCATCAAGCTTCTCCATTCTATCCTCCTGAAGAAACTACAGTGAAAAGAGTAAAGGAAATTAGAGCATCATTCAGGCTGGCTTTGTGTTGTCTTACAGACACAAGGAGAGTTCAGGACCCGCAGTAGGTTGCACAGCAGAGGGACTTGACTCCTTTTCTGAACGTGGGTGAAAATGCTTTCTCTAAGATTTTTAAGCTTAGAGATAATGTTAGGGCCAGTGTATTAAATCATTGTTGAATGACAGATCCTGTTTTTCCCCACCAGAGGGTGAGGTGAGACGTGTTTCATCTGCAGGCATCACATGCTTAGAAGGGAGGTGGGGTTGTGAGGCTGCAGATTTTTTCCCTAAGCTACTGGAAGCTTACTGAACACACCCACTGGCAGCTCACCACCCCTTCTCCACTTTCTTTTCAGTGATTCTTTTTCATGACTTAATAGTAAACACTTCTCTCTAAAAACCTACCAATTCCTTCTACAAAGAGCATCCAATTCTTTCCTCTACAACAGCAGAAAGTTCATGCTTACAGGTGTCTGAAACCTGAAGCAGACACTGAGACAAAACTCTCAGTTTCCAAGATTAACTTTCCTTCCTTTTTTGAGACAGGAGCTCACACTATAGCCCAGACTGGCCTGGAATGCACATCAATCATCCTGCCTTAGGCTCCTGAGTGCAGGGTTACAGGAGTAAGCTAACAAGCTCACTCAGCTTTCAGCATTAATAAAGCAAAGTGCAAATGCTACTGTCAGAAAAGGACCTTTTGCTTTTCCTTTTTTTCTTTTTATTACACGTGTGTGGTGTGCTTACATGTACATATGTGTGTTCGAATGTGTGTGTATGTGTATGTGTGCTCGTGTGTGTGTATACATGTGAGCGTGGAGGCCAAGGTTGATGCTGGGAATCATCCTTGGTAGTTCTTCCAACTTGTCTTTGAGGCAGGGACTTTAAATCAAATCAAGAGATGAACCCCCACATGGCATTTACATGGGTTCTCGGGATCTGAACTCTGGTCTTCTTGCTTGTGTGGTAAGCACTTAAACCACTGAGCTATTTCCCCAACCCAAAATTTTGCTTTTGTAAGTAGTTTACTAATGGCTTGAAAGTAAGATTCCTTCTTCTTCCTCTACTCCATCTACTTCTGGTGTGTATGTGTGTGGCTGGGGTGCATATACACACTTGAGCATGATTATAGGAATCCCCACCCGTGAGTAAATTGAAGGCTGGAGAATTCTTTCTTGTGTGACCCCACACCACTTTCTGTGTGATTGTTCTTATCTTCAGAAGATGTGGGAAACTCTGTCTTCCAATTTCCCATTATCAGTCAGCTACTCTCACCCATGAAGCCATGAACTGGACTCTGGATAGTTTAGGTTCACTACAAGGTCAAGATTCCTAAAATCTAGGTCCTGAAATGATGCTATTTGTTTGCTAGTACTCCAACCACTAAGCCGATGTTGATGTGTCAGAGTTAGCTTTTCCAACAATGTGAATATTTATTCATTAACAAATAATATGAGTTTTTGGAGAGCTAGGTGATGTCCTTTGGTGATGCTAGGTGATGAATATACAGAAAAGTATAAGAAAATCAGAATCTTTGCCCTCATGAAAATTATAACCTGTTATGATGGTTGCTCAGGTAAGAAACTGTCATGGACCCCCAGCCATAATCAAATACTTGGTTCACTTTTAGCCAATTCTGAGTGGATGAAACAATGGAAATCTATTGTGATTCCAAATCTTACTATAAACAACAGTCATTAAGACAGTGTGGTGCTGGTGCAAGAATAGACATATAAGTCAATGGGACACATCCTCTTCTGGCCTCTGAGTAGATACACACAAAGCTCATATACCTGTACACACACGTGCATATACCCAGGCACACATATAACACATGCGCGCGTGCGCGCACACACACACACACACACACACACACACACACACACACACAAGCTAAAGAAAAAAAATCTCAAAACAATCTGTCGTATACTGCTGATAGGAATGCAAACTAGTGCCACCATGGTGGATAATAATTTAATAGTTTTCCTTAAGTTAAACATAGAGTATCAATGAACCTGGCTATTCTACTTTTAGGTACATAAACCGAAGTGATATAAAACAATTTGTTCTTAACTGTTCATCCTCAAATCTCCATCAACTGATGAAGGAATAAACAAAATGCGGCATATTCATATAATGGAATATTATCTAGCTGTATAAAGGAATTAATTTCTGCAGCATGTTCGAACCTTGAACACATTATGCTTAAGTAAAAAATAGTCACAAAAGACCACATGTTATTTGATTTGGTTTACATGAGATATCTAAAATAAGCAAATTTATAGTGATAGAGAGTATATTAGTGATTGCCCAAGGCTGAAGTGAGATAGGAGGAAGGGGGTTTATGTAGTAATAGCTCAAAGGTGTAGACTTTTGTGTGTTACTGCGTGTTTCTTTTATCTATTCTTTTACTGTATTTTTGGGAATTTCATACATGAACACTGTACTTGCATTATTTCCACCCCTCCCAGTTCTCCTTCAATTCCTCCCATGGTCTTCCCACTCCCTCTCAATTTCTTGTCTTCTTTTTTGATTATTATTACTACAGATATACATACACTTAGAAATATAAAAATATATAATGCCCTGAGTGCATTTAATGGTACTCATGTATACCAACTTTTAGGGCTGCCCTCTTAGATTATATAGCTTTTTGAGGAGCTATACCCTGGAGAGAACTGATTCTCCCTCCCCAGCTTCCATTAATTGCCTATACCCCTTCATCTTGAAGTAGGACCCTGAGAAACTTCCCCTATCCACCTTGGCATGTCAATTGGCTTTTTCATCATGATGATTTTTATTAGACTACCATATTGTAGAGCTTTTACTGTTGTAGCTTCCCTATCTATTTAAAAAATATATTTTATTCAGTATTTTTATTTTATGTATATGTGTATATTGCCTGAGTGTAGGTAAGTGCACCCGTGTCATGCAATGCCTGCAGAAGACAGAGACGCTGTCAGATTCCCTGGAACTGGAGTTATGGACACTTGTTAGCTGCCATGTGGGTGCTGGGATATGAACCCGGGTCTTCTGCAAGAACAAGCAGTGTTCTTAACCACTGAGCCATCTCTCCAGCCCCCCCATCTATATTTTTTGACTAGATAAAAACGTTCTAAAATTCATTGGGGTATGTCCACACAACTATTATGTAGAAAACAATTTAATCGTATACTTCAAAGGGTGATTGCATGTTATATGAAGTATACCTCAATAAATCTATCAAAAGCAATATCCAAGAAATTAATTTACCACATGACAGAACATAGCAATGGCTTTGCAGTGAATAATTAACTTTTATAATGGGTAGTGAGTGTGTGAGGACAAGTCAAACCAAACACAGAAAGAGCAGTGACAACATTTAAAGCACTGAGTAGTGAAGACATGGAGCACACTGGTGCTTTTCTTATCGCTGTGGTGGAACACCTGCCAGAAGCAACTTAAGGGAGGGATTTATTGTGGCTTCCAGTTTCAGGGAACACAGCTCATCAAAGCAGGGATGGCATGACATTGTGGCTCACACAAAGAGCCCAAGGCTTGTTTACATCACGGCCAACCAGGGAACAGAGACAAACAGGGCTGGGAGAAAAGGCTGGGCTATGTCTCAAAGGCCTAACTCCAGTGACCCACCTTTACCAAACCAGGTTCTACAACCTCTCCAAAGAGTACCATCAGCTGGGTGCTATATGCTCAGATACATGAACCTGTGGGGGCACATATCAGATCCAAACTATAATGTGGATCTAAGGTTCCTGAAGTCCTGTACTGGTTAGAGTGGAATTTATATTTCAGTTAATTAAGTGTCAGACATATTTTCAGTTTTTTAAATACTAAGTTTTCTCTAGAACAAACTAAAAATATGTTAGTAATAATGATACATGCAAATAATGTAAGGATTTTAACTAAAAGACAAAACTTGTCAGAGTACATAAAAAACTATAAATATATGTTAATAGAAGACAATGAAAAGAGACTCAAAATGTTGTAGTGTTGGAAGGGGTTATGCATGCTACCAGAAGGAAAAAAATAATCATCACCTTTATCCAGCTGTGAACACTGTGAACTACAACACCTATGACCTGGCAAGATGTGCTCACTGGTGTAATAGTGACTGGGATCAAAGGCATGCATTACCATGCCTGGATAAATAATACAGTTAAAAAAATTTATTTATCATTTTTATTTTATGTATATGCAGGTATTGCTTGCATATAGGTAAGTGCACCCATGTCGTGCAATGCTGGCGGAGGACAGAAGAGGCTTTTGGATCCCCTAGGACTGGAGTTATGGGCAGTTGTTAGCTGCCACGTGGGTGCTGGGATTTGAACTGATTTGAACTGGGGTCTTCTGTAAGAACAACCAGTGTTCTTAACCACTGAGCCATCTCTCCAGCCCCAAATAATACAATTTTTAAAAACAAAAGAGAATTCCTTCACCTTAGGACTACTAGCTACCCCATTTCTCTTGTCTACCCCCCTCCCACCCCTGCCGGCCTTTCTCACAGGCAGTTCCAATAACTTCACCTCAAGTCCCAAACCAGATTAACTAAATACCCTAGCAAAGATCCCTAAGTCCTCACTCAGGTTGTCCCCTCCCCACCAAATTTCTAGCCTCCAGGTCAGGCAGGCAGATCTGCTCAGCCAGGACTCTGGTAAGTCAGATCCTGCTCACTGCCTCTCTACCCAGTTTCTCTCATCCACCCAACCTGGTCCCCTGTCAGCCTCTCTTACAGGCAGGCTCCAATTCCTTCACCTCAAGTCCTAGGACTAGCTTCAAAAACAAGATTAACTAAACACCCTATCATAGATCCCTAAGTTCTCATCCAGGCAGCTCCCTTACTGCCAACTTCCCAGTGTCCTGATCAGAGAGACAGACCTGCTCAGTCAGGACTTTGACCAGTCTATTATCCAGCAAGAACTTGAAATATCCATTAATTTGTCTTCCATACGCAAACAAAAATAACTAAGCTTCATAAA